GCTTTCAAATATCCATCACCTCTTTCACTAGAAATGCGGAAAGAAATCAGACCACTCCGGGGTCTCATACAACGACGCAGGAGCCTCGCGCAGATTGATAAACGCCTCAATAACCAAGAATACCCTCGCCACAACAAACAGCAACAGGACAAAACAAAGAACAAACGACTTTGCTTTCTTCATCCAAGGTTTCTGGTACGTCGTTCCTGCCAGTTGCGCCCCTGGCGCCGCACCAGAAATGAACATATCAAACCGCGGCCAAACCTGTCGAGCGAGGAAGAAGATCCACAGCACCACGCCCGAGGATGTAATCACCAAAGACGCAGCCAGCCAGAGAGTCCGCTCGATCGTCGTCGGAAAGTGATCGAGCCAGCCCGCAAGGTGAAGCCCGCCGTATGCTGCTGCCGTCAGAGCGAGGACCGACCGCAGGACGTCGCGGTGGATGTTGACTTGGCCTAGCCCGAGGTTCGACATGGACGGGAAGTTGACTATGTAAGGGACGAGGTAATCCGTCTCACCGAGAAACACGCCAACGGTCGGCACGGAGGTGAAGTAGAATTGAGCATACGTCGGCCGGGAAATGCATTCTGCCCAGAGAGAATCTGCGGCTAACGCAGCTTGTGCCAATCGTGCTGGGTTGACGGGCATGTGAGGTTTCTCGTGTCTTTGGACATCTGCAAAGAGTCTTCGGCAATAGATCGTACCGTGTCGGAGACTGAGCTGGGTGTAAGGCGAAGCGAAGTATGTCTGCTGGCATTCCGGGGACACCGTCGGTTTCGCCTGGTCGATGTGGTACATGTATGCGGTTCGGGATACTCTTTTCCGCTGTATGTCGACGTCCACAGGCGACGAGAAGGGATGAAGGTTACTTACGTCGAAGCCGAGAAACCTAGAGGGCTCCCTGGTGCCAGGTGAGCCGATGGACAAATGGGTCGTGATGAGAATCTTGTCCTTGTTCTCCTTTCTGACCCCTTCCGTGCCCACGTCTTCGGGCGGTATGTACATGAAGCACCGGATCTCAGTTACGCCGTTAACAGCGCTCATAGACGAGCAGAACATCATCAACGCCATGGCATCCTCGTTCCCCTCGTCCAGGACAGTGGGATCGAGCACATCCAGGGGCTTGCTCCACCATAGCAAATAAAGCATAGCAGCACAAGCAACGTGTCCGCAGGTGTTGATCTCGAGTAGCGAGACGGGCATTTTCTTAATGAGGCGGCCGATGACTTGGGCGACCATCCAGCCGGCCTGTATGCACACCAGCGACTTGGCCATCCAGTCCGCCTTGCTCTTATCCTGGATCTGCGACTCGTGAATCTGCGGCAGCTTTCCGACGAAGGATAAGAGCCTGATACCCTCCGGCGTGACCGTTACTCTCCTGAGCGCCGTCTCGACCTCGGCAGAAGGCATATTGACGACGAACCCTCCCATCACGGCGTAAAAACACTGCGTCATGTCCCACGTATGCCTCGAAAACGTCCTCGTCTCCTCCCTATCGGCAGGTGTTCCATCTGCACCTGTACTCCCTTTCCGATCCGCAGCATCCTTTTCAATCTCTTTCTTGAGCCATCTTGCCACGATATACTGAGCCGCCGCCGTGGCGACCACGAGCTCCGGCGCGAAGATACCGTAGAGGACCCACTTTGTCCGCTCCAGCGACCGGCTCCGAAGGGTGGAGCGCGCGGCGGGGACGTTGAGGTGGAGGGCCGTCCAGACGCATATCGTGAGGGTGAGCACGCAGGAGCAGATCAGGCCAAAGGTGCCGCGACCGTTTGGTTCGGGAGCCCAGTTAGTCGTGGACGAGGGAGGGGCCGCTGCTGCGAAGGGAGGTGAGAGGAGGGGATAGGCTGCGACGGCGGAGATCATGAGCGTGGGTGGATGTGGTTTTATCAGATTGCATGTTTGCAAGCTTTAGTTGGAGTTTTCAGGCTGGGTCTTGGACCTGTCTAGGAGAGTCGTCCTTAAGATTATGAGAACTCGCGGTACCTATATCATGATTGACATACCATCAAGGAGGTTCGTACGAAAGCGAAGCCGCGGGAGCTGACCCCACGCCGCAGGCGCTGACGGCACGCGCCGGATGCGCCTTACCGCCGGTGCATAGAGCTAGAAGCTGAAGCAGGGCATCGCCACCACCAACCAGGGTTCAGAGGCTGCAGAGCCAATGAACACGGATCACACTGCATCGCGATAAGAGGACGACCAAAGTCATTGGATATGGAAATGGAAATATGCGTTTTGTGGCGTTCTACCCACGCATTATTGGCAACCTTGACCAAATGCTTCATCAAAAATTCTATCACTCCAAAGGTTGCCTCCTTGTTAGAGCTAGAGGACAACAGCAGGCGAGAGGTTTTGATGAATGACGCTACTTATGCTATTGCGCCACGTAAGTCGAAGTATCTCATTACTGGTTGTGACTTTCCCGTAGTGACGCAGGCACCACAGCTGCTATGGGCTATGCCGGACGAATGTGATGATGTCAAGTAGTAACTTAAAGTGAGATGAAATTGATTCATCCTCAATGAATTCCCAAGCAAATGTGTGTACATCCGTATCACTTGAATGGTCTCTCGTACCAGTACATGATTTCCCTAGAGATTATACTTGCATCAAGCAGTACTGTCATCCTCCTGGCGAACACCTCACTTTGTACAGCAAGTGAACTATCCCACGACTTAGCATTCTATCCGATACCAAGTCTAAAAGTCAACTCACCTCAACTGTCGTCGTGCAGATGCCCTTTTCGTGCCGGATGTTCCTCGCAATGTACTCTCCGAACCTCTGGCCTGGGTTGCACCCCACAGAGGGCTCGAAGCACATGCCCATGCCGGCCAGAGTACTTGATGTCGCACGACACGATGCCGGCATCGGAGCGGCGTGAGCCGTCAAAATGGCGGTGCCAAGAACAGCTATAGAAGAAATCAAGGATGGAAACATGGTGAAAGCTTAATGAATGACGTGTAGTTTGAGTTGAAGAGGAAAAAGGTTGGCTAACTTTTGCGAAGGTTTGCTATTCTATATCAACCTATATAAGATTGCATGATACAGTATCCTAGTCCAAAACTTATTGTACGTAAAAGAATAACTTCTTTCATTCAATCAAAACCACTCATATACGAAATTTGCTCGTAAGTGGAAATGTACGGGGAGCGGACTTCAAGACGTTGTCGCGGGCCCGTGTCATACGCGGATTCCCTGAGAGAAAGCCGAGACCGAACTAATAACCAGTCTGATTTATGAATATGAGGATTGCTGGGTTCCGCAATTTCTATGGGGGTCTCGGATCTGTGCGCTGAGGCTATCTGCCCCCTCTAATCAAAAGTCGCGAAAGCGCTCGATTAAAGGTGGGAAGGATAAACATAAACTGGCTTCATCCGGCTTTTTGTGTACTTGGCGGTCTACAGGGCTGAAAGTCAAATTGATACATCCGTTTCCGACTATATTAGCTTAGTATTACTGGAGAATTATATTGTGCAGTCAATTAACTGGACAAAATCTCGTCAGCGTTCTCTGATGTGGTTCTCTGACTCATGTCGTCGAGTTTGGCATATGAGCTTTGATGCTCCAAGACGGTAACATCCTGTGCTTGGCTCTATCAGAGCTCTTGGGCACATAAAGAGTTGACAATAACAAATCGTTGCACGCTGCAAGTCGTATTGATGTAAACGAGCTATATATGCGGATTGATCTAGGAAAGAGAAATCCTCGACTTAAGGACTTTGAATAATAGTAGCTTACACGGAAGCGTCTTGATCGGCAGAAATATTGCCGAGAATGGTATCATAGCTTTTCTTTATCGGCTGTTTGGTTTATTAATCTGCCAACATCGCATGGGGAGATGTCACGTCTTTCGCATTGGTTGTAACCACTCATATCTGATCTCAATACCTGGAGCCTGGCCCCGAGTGGATTCTCTCTCTGAAAGCCCTGAGTTTGATTGGAGCCTGTAACTCTCTATCTCTAATTCCTTTAACTCAATGTTGCGCTAAACTTCTACTGCACTTTGTAAGTTTCTTCTGCCTTGCACAGACTGATATGTCTTAAAGACGAATATGTCACTTGGATCAGAATATACCTGGTTAATCAGGGAAGCCCTTGATGACTACTTTGTCACACACGCTACGGATTATGCAGTTCACATTTCCTATCCTCTTCTTTTTCAACACGCGCATATGGAATTACTTGTCGGACCAAACGATTTCTCGAAGCTACAAAATCAACTTATGAGGTTGTCACAAGTACATGAGTAACATAACGCATGGTGCGTAATGGCACACATCTCGCTCCAGCAAACATCAAGAGTTCTGGCGTCCGATACAACGTATTCTCAACCTCTTCCCACATTCTATTTGTTAAGTAGACGATGATAAACCTCTCTTTTGGTTGTAACACCAAAACGGATCACGAGTAGTTATCCACTTCGGAGACCTGCAGCTTCTTAGACCCAGAACGGCCGTATACCCACCATCGCCATTCGGCTGTGTGTTCTAGTGGATTATGATTTCTCGTTCACAAGTATGTGCACTTGATCCCGAGAAGGTCGCAGGTTCGAGCCCTGCCACGGTCATAGCATCATTTTTGGAAATGCGCTCTAACGTCTCCTGTCTTGTCCGTGACCTGTAGCTTATAGGTTGCTACGTCGTATAATTTCCCAAAGAATTTGCTCAAAACTATGTCTTGTTAACAGAAATCAATAATCCGGCTTTTCTGTCAGGCTGTCGGTCTATGTTTTGGTTGACTGGACTCAAGTTAAGCCCCTATATCAAAGCTGCAAGGCAGAGTGCTGATTGGCAGTTTAGCTGCTCATTGAATATTATTTGATTATCTGCTTTGTCCTCAGGTCTGTTTTAAGATTCCAGGACCGATTGCGCCTTCATTCCTTTGCTAGTCGCCCGTATCAACATTGACATAAGTGGAGGAACCGGCCCATCAATATACTAAGACGCCCTTCAGTCCTGGATGTCCTTTTGAGCGACCCCATGACAAAATTTCTTGAGCTAGTAAGCGGACGATGGTGCTTCTCGAGATATGGTCCTTTCTGTGCCTGTCCCATGCATAGGACTGCGTTTCCCGTTTAACTCAGTTGCTGTCCCGCCGCCGTACCCAGCCTCTTCAAAAATGGTCCTCCTCTTTTTGCGTCCCAAGTATACCAAGGCAAGTATCAGGAGGACGGCCGCAACCACTGCGACGGCGATGCCTGTTATAGCTCCAGTCGACATCCCGCTCTTCGTTGATACTGTATCACCAAGTTGATCTTGCTGGCTCACAGAAGCGTTTCTTGCCGATACATGCTGCTCGACGGCAACTTCAACGGTTCTTGGTATGCTGGAGGTAGACAAGGGCCCAGTGGTTGGACCTTTCCTCTTGGCTACATGTGCACAGGCTGACGATACAGCATCTCGAGCTCCTATTGAGATTAAGTTGTCAGATGGTGTAGAAAAATGCCAATTGGTTGTTAGACTTACTCGGCATGTTTACTGGCGTGCGTGTAGCCAGACATGATATCAGGACCAATGTCATGGCCTCCTGTCCGTCTGTGTCACATGGACAGTGCAGATTGTCGAGTCCGCAGCCGATTCCTCGGATGCCGTCCCTGATACACGGAACATCATAGGTTGGCTGGTATCCAAAGTCCCCCGCATTTGTCGCGTGTAATGAGTAGACAAGGTCGTGAATAGGCAGTATCATGCTGGGACGGAATTTGATCTCATGTACGAGAGTGGCGAGCAGAAGAGAAGATGCATCACGGAAAAGGTGCATGCCCAAAGGATAATCAGAAGCGTCCAGTAGCATCATATTATTATGGTTGCTGGCCTACCGTGCCTAAGGTACGAAGCCAAGCTGAGCCATCTGGGGGATTGGAGCGCCACGGTTATTGGAGACGGTGCGCGCCACGGTGACGATCTTCAAATCTAAACAAGCCACAGGTTTCCGGTTTCCCCTCCTTTGTCCACGTCGAGGACCAATCACTCCCCTTCTACTAGCATTGAAGAAGAAAGCATGTTCCGGCAATTGGAATCACGGGTATGCGGGTTCGACTAGTCTCTCTACCAGACTAAGCAAGCTTGGATGTAGCTCCCTCTTTTTTTAGTAGACCGCCCTTCCTTGATGGACCATTGTCCCATGCAGCTCTAGAATACAGTGCCATCGCTCTTGATGAGAATTGGGCTTGACTTGGTCTGCGGCCGGAACTTTGCTGCCGTCTCCCGCCCAGATTTCCACGTCCCTGCCTCGAGCAGCTGTGCCATGCTCAGCTCGACACCCTCTCCCATGCGAGATTGAATCTTGCCATAGAGGCTATCGATCAGCACCAACGTCATTGCCCTCCATTCCACGATGACATCGTCACCAGCCTCGAACATTGGCAGCTCGCTACCCGATGCTTTCAAGCCTCGGTCCAGTGTCTCCTTCTTCAGGGCCAAAACACCCATATCGACGAACAGGCCGCCGTTGCGGTACTCCGGCAAGGCCGTGAGAGAGCTAGCATTGACCCACTCCAGACCGAGTACCCGTTGGAATGGAACCATGAGGGAGTAGGTGAGCCACTGTGTCAGTTTGTGGAAAGGTTGAATGCCTGCCGCAGGGGAGTCGGAACTGCCGGCCTTTGCTCCCTTGCGTAAAGTACTCAACGGCCAGGCATCGCCGATGGGTGTTCCGCCAATAGTTGTGCGATCCTTGGGCCAAGCAGGAATCAAAAGAGTCTGGAGAATGTCCCAGAGATAGAGCACATCAATCTTGGAGGACCCTTTGGCAGACTTCACCAGATAGTCTACTCGTCGTTAGCACGCAGAAAGTATTTCAGGGGCAGCAGCATCTAACGCACCGACAAGGTTGCCTGGGCGGCCTTCAGCTCCAAATACTTCGGGATGGGCCAAAAGTGACTCTCCCAGGCTGCGAAGGAGACCGGCGCGAGAGTCAACTCCCAGCATGGGGTTGCTGTCTGAAACCTGGAAACCCTCTGCTAGTGCACTTGTCTCCAAGCGCTCCAGGCCCTTTCCTGTGAGTCATAGTGGTTAGCACATGTCTTCAATATTGAATTAAGAGTTGCAATGATTACCATCGACTATAGGGTTGGCCTTGTCTGTTGATGTTGTGTAGGCCAAGGCGTTGAACATGTGGAGACTAGCCACGGCGATGCCCTCGCTGCGCTCATAAATCTGGTCGGTCTTGGGCTCCTTGTATCGCCAATGATCACCTGCCCCGGCATCCAAAAGCACGGACACAAAAAATAGGTCGATGAGACGACGAGTGACCTCGGTCTCGTCGCTTCCACTTGCTTTCCACTCTTCTATAATGTTGGTAACGCGGGGCACATTGCCGACTTCAAAGTGTTGCCAACGCCCATGAGGAGGGATTGTATGGAACTTGTCCGGGCCGTAGTCGCGCTAAAGAGCTCATGTTAGGCTTGCCGTACGAGGTTTCGAAGTGAATGAAGAATCAGTCCCGACCTTGATAACTGAAGCCACGAAATCGACCACCTCATCCAGCTTATCTTCATGAACTTCAAAGTGGCTCAAGTTCCCAGCTTTGGCGACATCCCCAACGATCTTCGCGCGCTCCCGGATGGCGCGCAGGGAGAGAAGGTACTTGACTTCGGAATCCATTGTGATCAATCTGAATAAGTTAAATGTGAGAATTAGTATGAAAGTGTTGAGAAACCCTTCTTGAGCGATGTATGCACGACGACAAAGGACAAGCAGGGCGACTCCGCACTTATCTAATAGGAGTCGCGGGGAGCTCCGACGATGTCACTGAGGAGGCGGTGGGCACCTGCGACGGCGCCCGGAGCGCCTTATCGGCCTGACAAACACTGAGACACTAACACCGCATCGGGCGCCGGCGGGTACTGGCGGCCCTCGCTTCGCATTCGGGCACTAATGCCTGTTGCTTGACTGCCAAGTGATGTCTGATGTTGTAAAGTAAGACATTCAAGTAATTCATTAAACCACAACATAGCCTCTATTTTGGTTCAATCGTTTACAACAGAATGCCTTGAATCCCAGATCCCGATGTCTTGACGTTACCATCACTCACGGCTTAGAATAGAGTTTAGCCAACCCAAGTGGGGGCACAATGAAGTCATTCAGGGTCCAGGGACTATGGTGCTCAAGGTCAAAGACTAACATATGGCATGATGTCTTCCGTTCTACAAGTTCAATTGAATTCCTTGTCCTCGGTGAAGCTATCTATATCGCTTCTTTGTGGAGGGTTTGCGAACAGAGACACCGTTTTCTGAATGTCGTCCCAGGTGCCTGCTTGTAATGGACGAAGTAGGATATTGTGGCAACCCGCACTCTAAGGGAATCACAAGAAACACAATGAATGAATGAATGAATTCATGGTAAATCAATGTTATAGTACAACGGTGGTTTTTGATTGCTCACAATGCAAGCTCAGAAGGTCGCCCAACTTGGCAAAACCTGCGATAGACCGACATCCTCGCGGAATCACCAATTGTTATCGTCAGTGTAAGTCAATTACACCAGCAAATTAGGAGTGAATTATTTTAGACAAGCTGCAGCTTAATTTTGTTTTAACCTAGAGAGACTAACGTATAATTCGTACGGTGACATTTTCATGCGTTTACTATCACTTCTGTAGTTACACAGCATTACATTGAGGTGATCAAGGAGAAGGAAATACGATAACTGGTATCGAAGCTATCTTTACACAACTCCTCACAATGAAAGCCAGAAATTTCAGTCGATAGTATGTTACTCATGATGTTCGCGAACGCTTGAAGTAGAGGTCACATAAAGATCACGTGCTAGGCGGCCTCCGACTAAGGACATTCAGCCTCATTTCAACCAAACACCCATAGCTGCGCCTGAAAGATTTCTTCCGGCTGCTGTTCAAATTCCGGTAGAGTCTAGGAATTTCAGTAATCTCGCAATCGAGCCCGATATAAATTCCTTTTCTTCAAAAACATTGCCTGGAATACTCTGAAGTAGGATATTATCCAACCAAATCGGACAGGGAAATGGATAGATTCTACGCCGAACGACACTTTCCCCACCCGTGGCGCAGCGAATCTTTACAACCTGCCGAATTTCCCGCGTTCTCGACCGCGGGTCACACGTGTCATCATTGTGCTTCAGCTCTTATATCAACATCAAGCGTTGCCCCCGAGAGAATCAATAGATGGGTGTCGCTACATAGCGACCCACTGAAGACACGCCAACGAGGGAGCCTTAGGTGGAGAAACCTTTTGCCTCATAACATGCGGCAGGTTGCCGCTGCTAACGCTGAAGGATGTCCATTCTTCATCTGGATATGGGGACAGATCGAGAAGTCTAGGACACCGCCTGAGCAACTCTTGCGGACAAGGATATGCTTGGTGATTGAATCTGTCAATGGAATCATCTCCGACGCTACTAAATGCTCGATTCTTCTGTCGACGAGCGACTACTCTTGGAGTCCAACAGGGGGTACTTTTGACATTGAGTCTGACGCGTGTAGGTTGAGTTTTTATTGGCGGTAGCGCTCATTATTAGTATATCTTGCTGAGGCTGTACAGATGACCCCTCCGCGGATGATGCCGTAGGGCAAACCATAGATGGCGGTACTTTTTCAGAGAGCGGCATCGCTCAAATTCGTCGTCGACTCCAGGTATGCCTTGAATCACACCCGTCTTGTCGACAAGGAACAGGTACTCGGCCTCTGCGGTTCATCGAACTGTCCTCCGGGGACGAGAGAACTGTCCGTATTAGACAAGCCCATAGCACAAGAGTTGACCCATACGTTGCTCTCTCCTACTGCTGGGGCCTGGACCAGACCATCAAGACCACTACAGTCAACTTGGCTCGACATCAGACAGGAATAGAAGTCAGAAACCTGCCCAAAACTATACAAGACGCGATTCATGTCACCCGACAATTGGGTGTAAAACTCCTCTGGGTTGATAGCCTCTGCATTGTTCAAAACGATCCTGCTCTTTTAGCCAGAGAGGTCGGTGACATGGCTCATTACTACGCCAACTCTATAATCACAATTTCCGCGGCAGTAGCGAAAAGTTGTGCTGAAGGATTCCTCAGCCCGCCTAACACGACAGGACCGGATGGTTATGTAGGATTCTACTTCCCTTTTTCCGGTGACCCTCGCCGTGATAACTCATCCAAAAGACGCTTCAAGCTCTTCCGTGGTGAGGCGCGAGACGAGATTGACCATATCGATACCCGGGCTTGGACATTGCAAGAGTCTCTGTTGGCCACTAGGTTGGTCTCCTTTGGCACTCGCCGGATATCCTGGGCTTGTATGACCACTAGATTCGGTCCAAGCTCAGGTGCTGCATCACTCCGGGATAATATGTTCAAGACCCGCCACTGGGTGGGATACAGGGATAGGATCGCCCACACAAAAGCTATGGCTGTAACCCAAGAAACCCCGAGCATCTAATCCCGGATCTTCATGCTATTCTTTATCCACCTCTCGAAGCAACCTTCCAGCTATGGTCCAAGGTTGTGGAAGAGTTCTCGCAGCGGACACTTTCCGTTCCCGGAGACCGGCTGTTGGCCATCTCAGGAGTTGCCCAAACACTTGGAAACTTGGTCAACCCGTCGGGTGATATCGACACACCTCCATACGTTGCGGGGCTATGGAATACGCCTCTCCTCCCACTGCAACTCTTATGGATGCCAAAGAAGCCCCTCACTCCGCAGCTGTCTTCCTCCTACATAGCGCCGTCTTGGTCCTGGGCGAGCTTTCCAGGAGCCGTCGTCTGGCACTTGCCTGACTTAAGCCACCTTGACTCGTGTACACATACACAATCTCAACAGGAAAAGAAAATGCCCTCGCTTTTAGATAGCGAAGGCATTGTTGACTATAAGAAGCTAGCAATTACATCGCGGGCGAACGGCATAGGTCTCTCGCCATTGCCGGAAGTGGTCGCTGTCTCAGTGGAGCCTGTCATCGACGTCGCACCATACGGAGGTGTCGTATCAGGATGCATCACCTTACGAGGCAAGGCTTTTAGCCGTATGAACGAAGTTGTTACGCCTTGGCATATCCAAATGCGCTTCGACTCTGGAGCAGAGTTGCATTCGTTGAAAGACTTGCCTTCAGAGTTCATTTGTTTCCATATACTTGGTTATGTCATAGAAGATAACATTCCGCTAGATCATCACGACCAGCTTCTAGGCAAAAACTCACAAGGTTTGATTCTTGGAAGGGCGCAAGATGGGACATACCGTCGTGTTGGACTCTACGTAGGCCTGGACATAGGCGACCGTCTGCGCATGATGGAAACTATGATAGAGGTCGCACTACACTAAGATCCATGTAGCAAGGCTATGCGAATGATAATGGAAGCCAAAAAAGACATCGAATTCGTGTTTTGAGCGCTCTACGCTTACGGGTGAGATGGGTTGATGTTGACTTTAAGTTTCACTGGTCTGAAAGACGGAAAATGCACTGTTCAAAGGTCCAAGATCCGGGTGGCTGGTAGGCCCACGAATTAATCAGTTCTTCAAAGTACCCAGCATATCTTATTCTGAGCTGAGATCGATGTTGGTGTTATGGAAAGTCCGACCGGGTCAAACCAAAAATGATAAGGCTTAGCCCAGCGAGCATCGTAAAGCAAGAGCGATGCCAAGGACATTGAGATAGAGGCTGCAGTACAGAGCAACGGTATAACACATTTCCGCCTATCACTTTGATGCTCATGACGTGACTAGCAGTGCATTCGCAGCTCAATTCAAGGTGGGATCTGCTCACGGATCGGAAAGCGCCTGCAAATCTGTCTTTACCCGGCCAATTTTCCCCCGCGATGATATACCCCGCGTCGCGGACCCATCACCGCGCGCATCGGGGGTTCGCCCGGACAGGCCCGAAGGCCGGGCGGAAGCTAGGACGCTTGTCTACAGGGGTGTTCTGACTTATTAGAGCTGGAAATTTGCACTCCTCGTCGGTCGCTTGTATAAGAGAGGCCGAGCTCCGTTTACAGACATGTAAGCCTCTGTGAGGTTGGCTACAAGTTCGAAGTAGCAAAGCTACATCTCTAACTTGACGCGATGAAGCTCCTCGCAAGAGCGACGCTGCTATTAGCAGCTGTCGTATCAGCCATCAAGAACCCAATTCTCCCAGGGTCAAGCTCACCATCCTCTCCAATCACCTCAAATTAACCTCACTAACACCTCCCCAGATGGAACCCCGACCCAGCCATTCTCCGCGTCGGAGACACCTACTACATGGCAGTCTCCTCCTTCACCTACTATCCCGGCATCCCAATCTACAAGTCCACAGACCTCACAAATTGGGACCTCGTATCCCACGCCCTCCAAGACCCCTCCGTCCTCGCCCTCTATGGCGTCTCCGCCGGCGAGGGCGTCTGGGCCCCCTCCTTCTCCCACCACAACGGCCTCTTCTACATCACCTCCATGACGCGATGGGGCTCCGACCCGGACTCCCGCTCCTGGCCGCGGATATGGTACATCTCCTCCCCGGACCTCGTCACTTGGTCCCCTCTGACATGGGCGGAGCCTTACGGCATCGATCCGGATCTGTTTCACGACCCGGCTACGGGGAAGTCTCACCTCAACCTCATGGGGCCTAATAATAACTATGACCGGCTATGGGGCATAACGCAATGCGAAATTGATCTCAGCACAGGAAAATGCATCGGTCCCTACCGTAATATCTGGAACGGAACACTTCCGCAACTGCCCAGCTCCAGACCAGAGGGTCCCAAGATGTTCAAGCGCGGGGAGTGGTACTACCTCCTCCTAGCGGAAGGCGGCACGAGTACAGGCCACCGCGCGACGATAGGCCGCTCAAAGTCACCCCAGGGCCCGTGGGAATCTTCCCCGACGAACCCGCTCATCTACAATGGCGCCGATCCGAAGCTCACGGTGCAGTCGACTGGCCACGCAACGTTCACTGATACACCTGACGGAGAGTGGTACGCCTCCCTGTTAGCAAGACGGAACGTAAAGGGTGCCTCGCCTCTCGGTCGCGAGGCATTTCTGGTAAAGGTTGACTGGGAGGACGGGTGGCCGACGATGAATGGAGGGAAGCCTCTGTTATTGAGCGAGAGCGTCGACGGACCAGATCAGGAGTATCCCAAGGCGAAATGGGTTGATGAGTTTACTGGCCCTGAGTTGGGCATCAGCTGGTACCAGCAGCGGACGCCGTACACGGAGAACTTCAGGCTCAAGGGTGCGGCGGCGACGGGTGGGTTCGGGAAGAGAGTGGTTGCCAGCGACTCGGGGATCGTGTTCAATCCCAATGTCTTCACGCTCGGGGACCGGGATACGGCTGCTGCTGTGCTTCGAAAGCAGACGTCGTTGAACATGACTTTCTCAGCTAGACTGTCGTCGACGTCGGCTGGGCTGGGGCCGAGGCAGTCGGTTGGCATCGCGTCGTACCTGAGTGAAGTCAATCACCAAGATATTGGGGTAAGAGGATGCTGGAATACGACGGGGCTATGTTTGTACGTCGATCTCTTACCGACTTCCACCGGTCCGACAACTCGACCCAATGTAGGTTCTCCGCATTTTCAAGTTGTTAACCACGTACTGATCTTCGTACCTCACCTCTAGTCAACTGAATATCCCCTTAACGAGCCAACGATCTCCGCAGATCTAACACTTCACATCCGCGCCTCGCCTTTGGAATACTCCCTCGGCTACTCTCGCAGCAACGCGTCTTCGCCCACATGGTTGAAGACATTCAACTCCAAGCAGATGAGCTCGAACCCTGGGTATCCCAACTTCGAGGGCTCCATGTTCGCCCTCTTCGCCAGCGGGAATGGAGAGCCGTGGCCGTACGACGCTCCGGAGGTAGGCTTCAACCGCGTCGAGGAGGTATACTTTGACGAGGGTCTGCCGGACTATGACAATTGGGCGTAGTGCTTGAATAAAGTCAAAGTGGGCCAACTCGATGGCTGCTCATTCACCTTCCCAGCTGCTTTACAGATTCTTTGATCTTGTTCGTGTCGCAATTTCTTGTCTTGAGCTCGATGAGCGAATAATTCAACTCCCCCACGCTCCTCAGCTGAGAGAATGGACATTAGTCTCAGGGCGCATGAACGAAGCCAACGTAAACTGGATCTTTTGATTCATTCCTGCAGCGTGCGGCAGTACTTTCCGTCCAGCTTTTACGGTACTCTCCACGGATGGCTGTAACAATATATAAGGGCACTCTCATGATGGACACGTAGAAGACTTTCAGGCCCAGCGATCTTACTAGCGCCTTGAGTGGCTTAATGAGAGCTGGGTCGGCGGAGCAGATAATGGAATCAACTTGGTACCATTTTCGAGCTTCAATGTGCCTAAGCGCTGGTCCAATACAACGAGAGTTCCATCTCGCAGAGTCCATGGAGGAAGAACTATACCATAACGGATACCTGCCAGACGATGATGAGGCATAGGAACTGACAACCTGAGTGAGTACTAGATGATCTAGACGGTGTTAACGATATCTACTCTAGAGTCACCACGTAATGAGGTTTCTAAAGAAAGTTCATGCTCCTCGTCCGTTGGAAACGAACACGAACAACGATCTCCACGGCCTTTTGGTACCTCTATCATTATTATGTATACTTGTCCTCTGCCTTGTTACTATCAAAGCCGAAGACCGCTTGCGATTTCTCATCAAAGGGTGGGAGTATAAGTACCAACTTACCTGTCAACATCCCAAGATTCCATCAATGACAAGTAACATTGGTCCATTCTCTATGCTTAACAATGTGACCAGCCTTCATGTCGCAAGTCATTCCACTCGGCGAGATCTAAAACCAGAAGTCCCAAAAGACATTTTAATCTTGAGCAAAGTCCATCAGCAAACAAGTATACTATGGAGAATACCTCCCGGAAAATGACTGCTATCTACAAATGCTATCTGTACTTAGACACTTTCGTTGTGACTTAGAAGGTGGAGTGTGAAAGTGCTCGGCGTGGTGGCAAGCTGCAGACACCCTAGGCTACTCCAGCTTGTATGTTTCCAAACCGCCCGGGAGAAGGATACAACTGGTGAGCTATCACTATCTCACAAACGCAGAAGCCAAGCCTTAAATACCTTACAGCTGCTTGCATTTACAACTTTGTGTTCATCAGGATTGGGAGGGGGGTGTCGAGTTTTGCTTGATTCGGAGGGCAGACAATGATACCTGGGGATCGAAAGCTCTCCAAGTCTCACGAACATGCACGCTCGGAAAAGCCGGAAGTAGCAGAGATATTGACAAGACTGCCGTGTTGCGCAGCCAGAGATCGTCTCGGACTTGATGTCATACTTAGCCGACTTCAGTATAGGCGGTCCAGGCATTTGTAGATTGAGCCTCTGAGGGATACAGCACGCAGAGGGGCCAGAAGACAAGGTTATCGGCATTTGGGCAAGCAAAGACGGAAAGGATCTTCAGGCACAAAACGCTGGGGTCACGGCGCAACGGTAACGTGGTAATTCCTCGCAAAGTCCACCTGTGTATGAAGTTCTGACGGCTCATCATAGGTACGGATAGGAGAAAGGGGGTTACACAATGTCGTGTAACGCCTTTCTGGCGATCGGGCCTTTTTTGCGGAAATGGAAGTCACTCCGAATGCGATATGTACAGACAGTCATAATGTCGATTAGAAGACTGAGGAATTGCCTCAAGATAAAAAAGGGCGGACATGGTGATGGTGTCGCCAGGCCTCCGATACGGGCGGGGGAAGCACCCGGTTCGGCTGGCACTAATGACCTCGGAAGGTCTGCACTAACCTCGTGAGGGAAGTGCGTAGAAGCTCCAGATATGCGGGGAAACAAAAAGGTAAAAAGGGCGGTTGCAACGGTGGGCGATTAACGAAGCGACGCGACGCGACATGGTGCAGGCATGGGATGTCGGCTGTGCTATATCGATACCACCGTGGGGACGTTAAGAGCCATGGATATTTTGATGATTTTTGGGTAAGAGACGGAGCAAGCTGCGTGGCCAGAGATTGCGAATGAGATTGACGAAGCATTGCGTACATGCTCGATTCCCCAAAGAACAGCTTGGGAATTCAATAGTTCTCTCGACGCTGGGGCGACGCATGAAGAAGCACGGACGATTAGAGATGAGTGTTGGAAACCCCCATTATTGGGTACGAGATGGAGGCTGAAAAAGGAGATGCTGGTCGAGTGTGGATGCGAGCATGGGTCATGCTAGACGGGCAAGACAGAAGGCGGGATGAACGAAGTGCTTGTTTGCAGTGACGGGATGGCGGAATAAGCCAGCCGTACGGATATTGGTTGTTAGTCGTTGTTGACTACCTGACGGAGTAGTCGTGGCTGGCGGCGGTCTTGCGGATAGAGACGAAAGGGCCATCACTGAGATGACGGTGAAGCAGATCCCACGGGGATTGACGGGCATCGATTGACGGGATAATCTCCCCGGCCGGTCTTCTTATTGGGACTTGTCATGCTCGCGGCGCAACAACTCCTATTAGTGCTTTGACATGTGCTCCGGAGCTCTACGGTGCGAAGGCCGGTGCTGGCTTGCAGGCAATAGATGTCCTAGGCGGATCTTTACAGGTGTCCAGTTCTTTGCATGTGCTATGCTATCTAGGACGCGTGATGAGAGTAATGTTGGCTGGTTGACACCGAGCAGACAATAGCCGTACGCACTGGCCGAGGCAACTGGATATATTGGCAATGTGAAGCTTCGACTCGAATAGGACGCCGGGCTAGTTCACCGGGCTTCGAGAACTCTACTTGGAGCAAGGGCGCGTGAGCGGGACATGGGGCCAACGGGGAGCTGCAAAGTCAACGAACACAAAGGGGGGGAAGAACAGGTGATATGATAGGAGGGGGGCTCACCGGGAGTAGAGAGTAGAGCAAACAGGACAAGGTAGCACAGGAGAGACCGGGGCCGGGGATGGTATAGAGTGGGATAGATTGAGGAGGGTTTGGCCTGGAAGATGACGATGCAGAGCAGCAGAAGCTAGACTCAACTAGAGGGTCTCCGTAGTAAGACTCCGTGGTATGTATCCGTAGGGACGGAGACTGCGGCGGACTGAGTTGGGATTGCGAAAATCATCCCATGTTCTTTTGGATGAAGTTGACGACGTCCACGATATGACGATGATGTCGTCGGTCAATATTCTGCGGCCCAAGAGAGCAGAAGAGGGTTCGAAAGTGCAGGGCTGAAATTGAAGATGAGGTCAGTTCAAGGTAGCGCCTCAATGATCTGCTGCGAGTGTGGCTTTGGTGGAATTGCAACTTCATGCGAAGAGGTGCGGTACGAGGCGTCGAGAGCAACGATTTGCTGCATGGGGGGTGGCCACGGTGGCTTGGCTGGGAGTGTTGAAATTGCATCGGATTTGCGAGAGTACGTGGAGGAGACGCGGCCAGACCAACCGGTGGGACATGCGGTCACGGTACCCCTTTACGTAACGCACATGTGAGACGGAGCTACTGCAGGCGCATTAGTGGCTGGAGAAGGAGGTAGTGGGACTTTTGACAGAAGTACCTCGGAGGCTGGAGGAGCTGGCAAGGCAAGTCTCCTTTTGGTACCTGATCGAGTGCGACGGGGGAATTGCAGCACTAAGGTAGCGGTGCCTGCATCGGAGTCCTTTTTTTGCTTCTCTTAGAACGGGTATTATTGCTGATGAATATAGAAGGCAATTATATAGTCGTATTGCAAAGAGAGATTTCATCAAACATGTTGCCTTTTTCAACCTCGCTCGGTGTGACTGATGGACGAGTGTTGCACAAGTGTTGATTGTGCTATGCGACGGGACCTGCGAACTCGGTGCAGGCGGACCGAAGTGCAAAGTACCTTATTCGTGGGTATCCGTAAAGAAGGTACGGAGTATCCGCACCTGCCTTACCTTTTCATGGAGTAAGGTATGTAGGTACACACTACTGCGGCACGTGTGTGGTAAGGTAGAAAGACAGAGGATAGGTAGGTACGGAAACTCATAGTTTATTCGTACCTGCCTGCCTTCCATTGTGAATGGCATCTGACTAAGACTGTCCCGTCGGCTGGGGATTGGACAGGCCGGGATGTTTGAAGGAGGGGAGGGGGGGCGGCCCTGGGCGGATGGTTCGATATTCACCTTGCAGCGAGCTTCCAGCCACAGAAAACGGGCCTGTCACTCGCTGGGCGACCTGGGTTCAAGGCTCGGGGGTGGCCAACACGGGGCCGACAGGAGTTGGAGAGACCCTCTTCCGAGTCACAGAATGAGTGGTTTCCTTCTGGATCGCGTCTAGGCAGGTTAGAGGTTATGAAAGACTCGACCGGTGACCTCTTACGCCTTTCTAACTTGTGTCAACCTGGAGGTCACAAGTCTCAAGTGTTTAAGCATTCAAGGGGACAGAGGGGGTTCGTCTTTTGACATGTTGTACCCCCTCATCTCATGATGTGGAAGAGGATGGGAAACAAAAGGATGGCTCCGTGCTCCGTACGCACCTCGGTATGCGTGGCATCAGGGCATGCCCCGGGCATCGGACCAAACAAGGCTGCAAGTGGCCCGGTTGAATCGATGGTGGAAGCAAGCTAGAGGCGTGTCGCGGGTAGAGGGACGATTCGGGAAGTTTTCCACGTCCACAGCCCAGTGGTTGCTGGATAGTAAGGTACCTAGCATAATATCCAACCTGGAGGTAATTAATAGTTGAGGTGAGCTTTGGGTGAGTGTGGTGAGGTTCGGATACATAAAAAGGTACATGGGGTACATGAGGAGCGTCGAGAGTGAGACGGGGACGAACAGTGGCGGGGACGAACGGTGGCGGCTCGCTTTAGTGGAAAGGTCGGGACGAATTCCACTGGGCTAAAATCCCCTAGTGGTGCAGCAAACTGCAAAGAGCCCAAACGAGATGCTGTCAGTGTCAAAGTCGGCCATTTCCAGGTTGGCAGGCAATGGCAAGTTGGCTGAAGGTACCTACCTTAGATATCCTTGAGATGTCGATACTCGACGTGACTTTGAGGTCAGTTACCTCAATCTACCTTACCAGGTAAGGTAAGGTCGGTAAGGCACTGCGTGGTTACGTACCATTCTCGTGAATCCGAGCCAATCACGAAAATCAACAGATGGAAGGAGCAGGCCGAGTTCTAAGATGGAAGTTGCAGTCGGTGCTTGTGCCTTCCATTACTGTGTACCTCAGTACTCCGTACCTTACTTACCTTACCTGAGGTACTGTGCTTATTTGCCTAACAGATACCAAAGTTGGCAGGCGCCATGGACGTGGACAGCGGCCGTGCCATTTGATCAAATGAAACCGGTGTGAATTTCGCGCGTATTGGCGCCATCTTGTCTTTAGACTTTGCCTTCCGCGCGGCTGGTCCTTTCCTCTTTCTGCAAAGTTCACTTAGCACCCTCGTTCCATGCTGTGCTTGCCTATCGACTAAGTCGTGGCCTGTCTTACCTAAGATGAAGCAACGTGTGCAGGGACGGAAGAATCTCAAGAGGGAAAAAAAAAAAAAAAAAAAAAAAAAAGTCAATTAATTCAATTGATGATTGGCCACCATACCTCGAGGTTACTGAGGAAGGTAGCACTACCCATAGGCAACCCAAGGAAGGTACCTTAGCTGAGCAGTAAGGTAAGTAAGTTTTAGCTTCCTTCCCGCTGACCTTTCCACACCTTGAGCTTGGCCCATTCCACCGAAATCTTTTTTTTTTTTTCCCTCTTCCTTCCATCCCAAATCCTGCCTCCCCATCCCGCGCCTTTCCCGCCCACTTGTCCCGTCACTCCGTTCGCCTCTTTTCTTAATTCTCTTTGGGCCTTTGCCAACGTGCGGCGGCGGCGGCCACAATTGATCTCGAACGCCCCCCTGCAAACCGCGACACAATCGGTCAACCCTGACCCGCGTCTTTCTCTCCCAAACACTCTCCACCATCCTGGATACTGGACTGGGCAGCAAACGCTCCAAACACTCCAATCCTCCTACACTACGGAGTACCTTACGCAGTACTCCGTACAGTACATACAGGCCAGCAAACCGGGTGTCCCAGCCGCCAGGCCAAGACTTCTCGTCGGCCCGTCAACCTGCGCCTGCGCCTTTGCCTTCACTTTCCGAATATCTGACCCACCCTCGAAAAGGAAGAAAGGGAAGGGAAAACAGAATAGGACCTTCACATCGCGCACTACCCACCACCCACCACAACGAGTACCTAGCAGCGCGACCACCACCACCAACAACCAGTGACCAAAATTCCATACTCCGTACATACACTACGAAAGCCAGCACAATTCACCCCCTCGTTCAAACTCACCCATGGGCATCCAATGCCTGTGCCTGTGCCTGTCGCCCGCGCTGTCTCCTCGTCTCGTTCCTTAACATCATCCGCCTCTTCTACCGCCTCCTTCTGATAGATCCACCCGCACCACCAATACGCCGTCTTCCCTGACCAATACCAGACACCATCTTATTCTCGACTGGCCTCGTCCCGACTCCGACCCCTCTTGCGGCTTGCGGCTTGCCTTCTCTGTAAGGTACGCGCAGGTACATTCGGAATCAAGACCACCATACCCAGTCACCCAGTCACACCTCGCAGACTGCCATACCTACGGATCCTTCGTACAGACTACAACCGAGTGCTCAAGGCTCAAGCCCAGAGTAGACGACGACGGATATACTCCGTACCCCGACCACCCCCTGGCCCCTCCGTCCTGCGCCCACGCGTGGAAACAGCCTGTTAGTGTTGGGGCCGAGAAACGGGAAGACGAGTCCCCTTCATCCAAGCAAGCATCCAGCATCCAAGCAATCCCAGGTCCAGGTCCTGCTCCCAGCACCAAGTACCCGCGCACCCAAGCACCCAAGCACGAAAATTGTGCAGATCTGGCTGGGCCACTGGCTTGCTCGATTCTCCCTCTTCGCGCGCCGCTCCCTACCTTGCCTTAGTGCAGGCCTTCCTTCTCGGCCGACACCACAACACCCACCCGAACAACGTCGTCTGCCACTTTGCGCGCAAGACAATCTGTGCTTTGCTCTGCACTGCACACTGAGGTGGACGTTGGCTTTGCACACTGCACTGCACATTCGACACACAGCAGCACAGGGGGTCCAGAACTGCAGGAGAAACTCCTGGCCATCCACAATCGCCCTTCTCCTCTCTTTCTCTGCTCGTCCCGGTCCCGAAAAGACCTCCTTCCGTGCTGCTGCTTGACGACACTGGTCCGAAAAGGCGCCCACCCCAAGTCGAATTCCTCCTTCGCACACACCCACAGGCACCCCTACGCGTACCCTTCCTTTCCTCCTCCTGCTGCCGCTCCTCCGCACCCCCTCCCGCCTCCTCCCAGTCAGTCCCGGGACCAGCAGCAAGTGGCAGCAGCAGTCGAGCCACAAGCAAGACTGGACACGAAAAAAAAATCTCGCCTCGAGTCGCGACGCTGAGAACAGGGACCACGCACCAGGCACAGCTCCTGATCAACCTGCACCCAGGGTGTCGCGCATCCACGCTGCTGCTTCCTTCCATCCACGCCTCTTCCCCTGGTCGACCTCACAAGTCCAATCGTGGCTCCATAAAAATTTCTAATTAAAATCGAAATGGCTCAAGAAGACACCACAAGCATCAGCACAAGCAGCACAAGTGCCAGCACCTCCAGCGTGCCTGTACCTGTGCCTGCGCCTGTGCCTGTACCAGTTGTGCCTGATGTCAACGACGTCGCCGCTCCTAGTACGGATCCCTCGACAACCTCTACTAATTCTATCCTCCCCCCGACTACTTCGACCTCTCCTCTTCTTCCCGTCGCTTCTGCTCCTGCTCCTGCTCCTGCTCCTCTCTCCACGACACCGACCTTGACCTCCATCGAGACACCGACTCCCTCCACCGAGACCCCGTCCGTCGCGACTGCGAACGCGTCCGTACCTGGCACTGCTGCGGCACCTGCGATTGGTCCTTCGACCACGACCACGAGCGCGACTGCGACTGCGACTTCGACTGCGACTGAGTCTACTACGCCTGCGGTGGCAGCTCCTGCGCCTCTCCCTCCTCAGCAGAACGGTCAGCAGAACGGCGACGCGAGGGAGTCACACTCGCCCGGCATGGCGCATAATCAGCACCCTCATGGCTCCCAGAGAGGCTACCCGAGCCCCAATGCCTTCCCGTCACCTGGTCCTATGCCGCCGAACCAATATGCCTACCACCCTCAGCAGACGCAAGCCCAGGCGGACCCATATCGAGCCAGTCCTGGCGCGCCGATTCCTTCTCTGCCGAGCATGAAGAGCCTCGAACACCACTACCAACAAAGTGCGCCGCCGCCTCCTCAGACGATGTCGATGCAGATGCAGATGGCGCCCAACCAAGGCATGCAATACTACCTCCCACCGGGAGTACAGAGCAACCCATATATGACGCAGGATCTCAACCACCTGAGGTATCAAATCCCCCACGGGCACGATCCTAGATTGATGCGCGGTCCCGGTGGGCCGAAGAAGGTATGTTTGAAGGGATATGCAAAGAGACGGAAGAAGGCTGCTCCGGCAGTAGCAGTGGCTCGTTTGGATAAAAGCTGACGGTTGGGGTTTACCTCTTTTTCTTACTAGGAGATCAAGCGCCGCACAAAGACAGGTTGCCTAACTTGTCGTAAACGCCGTATCAAGGTTAGTAATGGTTCTCGTGAAGTTCTGCTCTGTTTGTCCTTTTTTCCGTCTTTTTCATATCACCATACCCCCGCTACGAATTGGGCGTTGTCGAGGCAAAGAGGTAATTGGGGAAATTTTCTCGAGACTCCCCATCCGAGAAAGCGCGCGCATGAAAGGCAACATTTTGAAAAGCTCGGGAATGCAAAAGATGGCAAAGAACCAAACAAACTTTACGATAAGCGAACCGAGTCGTGGTTTCGCCAAAAAAAAAAACGGTCGCTTGATGTTCGCTTGGTCTGGAGCTACTGCGAAGCGAGGACGGGAGCCATGCCTTTGAACCACGTTCCGGGATCGCGCCCGCGCCCACGCCCGCAGGGAGGAGCAATCTTCCGTTCCTGCAGAACCGACCGCCGCGCCCGCCTGCCCGGCGAGAAAAGCCCCTCCCCTCCTTCCTTCCCTTCCAGTTAAGCCTCCAAGCCTCCCAGCCTTGGTTGAGGCCTCAGGACAAGCGTCAAGCCACCACACCATGGAGAACCTGGACGGACACGCCTCCAAAAACTCCAAGCACCAGCCACCCTCACCCATCTGTCGCGACTGCCGCTACCTGAGCTGGGCCTAGCCTCGTCCCATCTGCGACATTCATCGACTCCAACTCCAATTCATTCACCTTACCTCATCATCACCCCCAATACACACACATCTCACACACAGCCCTACCATCGTCGCCCGCAAACGGCATCTGCATATTCACCCGTTGCATTTCCCCACTCTCATATTCCCAGTTGTCTTACACATACATACCCGTTGTCGTTCTCATTCCTCGCTCACGAGGCCACTGTTGGTTGAGCTCTTTTCTCAGTAAAAGCCGCCATTCTAACCATCTCTTATAGTGTGACGAGGCTCACCCCTCCTGCAACAACTGTAAAAAGTCGAAGCGAGAGTGTTTGGGATACGACCCCATCTTCAAGCAGCAGCCAGGTCCTTCCGTAATCCAGCCCGCTCCGAACGCCCAGCGGGTGCCGACGCCGACCATCCCGTCCGTGCCATCATCCGTCCCACCTCCGGTCCCGACTGTACCTTCAACGCCTGCCGCGCCTCAGGCCCCCGTGCCGGTAGCTCCATCAAACCCCTACGGAAACCAGCCCGCCGTCTTGCCCAGCTCGTATAATCCTCCCGTTCCATCTTCGCACGCCCCTCTCGATCCAGCCTTGAATTCTGCTGCGTCCGGCATCAAACCCGAGCCCACCGCCTACGACTTTGCGGCCCCGATAGATCCAGCTCTGCAAAACCTACCCGCCCCGGCAACGTTACATTCTACTCAGACTCAGTCGTTCTCGGGCGAGCAAAGGGCAGGCTTCGACAACCATCTCAGAGGTGCGACCCTCCCGCTATCATTGTACATGCCTTGTTCTCTTTCAGCCGTTGTTGCTTCGTTCTCAAACCCTCATACTAACACGACCTACACAGCCACCAGAATGAAGGTCGATGACCTGATCGGCCTCCTGGGCCCCGCTGCTCCCACCCAGGAGATTGCACTCACTCCCGAGCTACTCACCGAGATCATCAACGTCTATCGCGAGGTCTATGCTGTCGGTCTCCAGTCCTTCTTCGAGGCAAACTACTTCCAGAAGCAGGATGCCCAGGGAAAGTTTGCCTTTGAGCACAGCCAGCAACTCTTGCGCCAATTTGCCTCGTTCCTCAAGATTGTTCAGTCTGTCCCGGCCAATGACCACACCCAGATGACCCATTCTGGAGTTCTCGAGACTCGGTTGATCTGGGCCCTGGCCATCTTGCCATGCAATAGCGCCCCCCCTTCGTCCAACGCCGATGCCAAGGTTCTGCCACCTCCGGATGACCTGACAGAAGCAGCCAACCGAGTCAAGGTCATGGAGACCCTCCTCTGCGGCGACTTCTTGTCCTCAAATCCTCTCACACCTCCTGTTCCTGACACCCAGCCTCATCGTGAGCAGGAGTTTGAGTTCTGGTATAACCTTGCACAGTATCTGTGTTGTTACGACCCAGCAAAGCGTGATGAGGTTCTCGGCAAACTTAGAATGCAGCTCGGTGGAAGAGAGAACCGAGATCTCATCTACTCCATCGCCATCTCACGAGAGCTCTCTCCTCGCGTGGAAGTCGGTTTTGAGCGGAATGTGCCCCAGCATATGGATGAGTCCGACCCGAAGAACCGACTCTTCGTAGCGAACAAGTTCATTCAGGATGAGGCTCAAGTGACCGGCGGAACAACAAACGTGGTCCGGCGATTCGGCGAGATTGCCATCAGAGCGTACATCAGTCCCGGGGTCAATATTGCGGCACACCCCCACCAGGCTGCTCCAGCACAGCCTTGATCATATTGATCCAACCAGATTTTTCGTTTTTTTCCTATCAGCATTCACACTCTGCAGCATTTTCCAGGCTCAAAGGGGGCGGGGGAGAACCAAAAATCGTGTATTTTCAGAGGCGTTCACAGGGATGGGAGGGAAGCATGGCTTTCTTCCCTTTTGTGCTTTTCAATTTCCTTTTTGCATCAAAGCATACGGGCGGCAATACGCTGCTGCTCGTCCTATAGTTTCACGGCCGACGGCATCATCTTGTACAAGTAGTTCCCCCTAAAAACTAGTGATTATTCAGGCATGGCGGCGGTGTGGCGGGAAGAAAAAGAAAAAGTGGTTTTTGAGTGCAGCAGTGACTTGGGGGATGGGAGGCTTGGTAGAGGTCTCCCGTAGAGCTTTCATGGGAGGAAGCTACCAGACTTTCTGGACCTAGAGGCTGCTGATACTCTGTACGATATTAGACAGCATGGCCTTGGTCCTGGATTTAGGAGGCCAATAGAAATCAAGAAATTCTGAACTAGCATCGTTGTGTCTGGTGAGATGCCATAAGGTTTCTGGTTATGCCACTTGAGGTTGATAGTCGAAGGTCAAGTTGGATGACAAGTATCGCGAGGCTGCAATCGACGATGATGACGTTGACTGAGATGTCGACCACCCAGCCAGACGCAGGGCCAACAACGTATTGATATTGAGGACCCTTTGCAGCGATGAGATGCGGGGATCATGCAAGTCACCACGATTGAAGAGCCTAGCCGGCGATTAGCGAGGTTCGATGCAGATTCGGAAATGCATGCTACTCTTTCGCCAAACCTCTTTTTGCCAAGATGCCTTTTCTTGGGGTCCATGCGATGTCGGCCATGTTTTTTATTATTCGAATTTGGTTGTGGTGTTGAAACTCGAGATGCGAAATTTTCCGGTCCTTTTACCTAAGGAAAACCTTGCGTTTGTCGTATTTACGACCAGCTTCGGATCTCGAGGTGGAAC